TTCAGATCTAAATAAACGTCCCCAGTGTCTCAGCCAATAAACAGAGAAGCCTTTTCTGTATCTCCTTCCCCAAGCTCTATGATTTCTCGCTCCAAGCTCTATCCTCCATCTGACTCTTTCTATCTTCTCCATTACTACCACTGTGTTCCAAGCCATCGTTTCTCACCTGCCTCCTGTTTTAACCCTTGGCTTCCTACAGCAGCTTGCTTACGTGAGATTTTACCACCTTGCTTGGGTAAAACCCTCCAGCGTCTTCCAAAACACAGTGCCCCACAGGCTCATGATCAGGACTTACCCCCGTCACCACTCCCTCCTTGTTCTTTGAGCCCCACCTACACCACCAGCTATCCTCTCTTCCTTGAGCTCACCAAGTGGATCTTCCACAGCAGATTTGCATTTTCTGTTTCCTCCCCCAGAACGCTGTTCCCTCAGCCTGAAATGCTTCTCTTTCCTTACGCCTTTACGTGTCAGCTTGCTCACGGTTCATAGCTCAGCTCAGATGTCACCTTGGCACAAGGGCCTCCTCTGCTGACCCTCCTAAAGCAAACAGCCCCTTCTCAGTTTTTCTCTACTCCGAACTCCAGCTTTTTCCTTTATAGCGCTTATCTGAAATGCTCTCTAATACCGATGTTTGTTTTTCCGTTTTATCACCACCACTCCTACGAACGTGGAAGCTCCATGGGGGCTTTGTCTTAGCACTGTCCCTTCAGTCCTTAGCACAATCCTAGCCTGCAAAGGTACTTAATAGTTATTCATGGAATGCAGGTGGTCTGGGCCACACACCCAGAAATTCTGATTCATTTGTCTGGGCTGGGGCCAGGCAAAAGAAGAGTTAATTAATTTGAATCTTTTAACCGCAGGCATATTTTTTAACCATGTTATACCTAGCATGATCCCCAGGTAGTTCTAAGTTTAAGACAGAGTTGAGACCTTGGTCTTGAGAATGGAAATCTCGCTAGTATCTTACTATTCATGGTGGGGTCCTTGGACCAGCAGCACAGGCTTCACACCGTTACTTGTTAAAGATGCAGCATCTCAGGCCCCACCCCAGACTTAGAGAACCAGAATCTGCAGTTTAATGAGATACTCCAGGTGACTTGTATGCATATTAAATATAAGAAGCACTGACCTAGCAGAAATACACAATTCCCGAGGATTAAGTGCTTTGAATTTGGCAGGGTGAAGTTGTTATATCTGTAGGACATTGAGGTGGGCTTGTCGCTAAGACCATTGGGAAGGTGTTTCTGAAGTCCCAGAATGGGAATTTAAGAGGAAGTGGGTGTCTTCACCAAAATGCTCTTTGAGGGTTGGCGTGTAGGGGCTTGGTGAGGTCATCCGGGGAGAGAAGAACAAGAGACCAGAGAAGACAGAGTTGATGGGCCACAGGAGAGCCCCAGGATGGCACGAGAGGAGGGGAGCTGAGGTGTGGAAGTGAGAAAAGAAAGAGACTGATGAGGAATGCTTCTAAATTAAGTCAGGACAAGGGACAAGGTCAAGAAAGGGGCAACCCAATGTATCAGCTGTGCAGAAACATCAGGGGACATAGTCCAAGAAATAACCATGAGTTCTGTCTCCAGAGATGGGTGGATGGGGGAGCCACGAGAGGGGAGGAGAGGCTTGCACCAGTGTGAGGAGCTGGAAGCAGTGAGCCCGCACCACCCTCCCGGCAACAACTGTGGTCCCGCCAAAAGAAAATTCATGTCTCGAGGGAGTAGGGAGGGAGAGAAGCTTTTCCTGAATGAGAATGAGAGACCTGAGAATGTTTTTCAAGAAGAAGAAACCTGCAAGCAAAGGGACCGAATCGACTGCAGATCCAAAGAGAATTTAATTGATAAGGCCAGGCGTGCAGCACGTAGGAGACAACCAGATGAAGAAGTGTAGACTACACTCCTGTGCGTGTTAACACGGAGACCGACCTAGGCGGGTGCCAGGGAAAATAATAGGCTGCCTTCGGCGAAAGAAGCTGGGTGAGCATGGAAAGGCAGGGGCAGCTTTCTTTTCAATTTAAGAAATAAGAAATGAGAAGTAAAACTAGGGAGAAAACACCTGTGTCCACTCTAGCCAGACTTCACAAATGTTAACATTTTCTCAAATTTATGTCAGATATTTTCTGTGTATGAGATAAGACATTAGAGAGAAGGGTGAAGTTCCCTCTCTTTCCTTTTTGCAGAATATTTCTCTCTTCCTGTGAGGCAGCTACTATTATGAGCTTAGGGTGTGTGTAATGCCCACAAACAGTGTGCTGCCTACTTCTGCAGTTGGCTTTTCTTCACTCAACAGGATATCTGAGATCTATCCACTTGGACACACCCATGCAGATACATCAACAGATGTTATAGGAGTAAATTCTATAAGTAAGGTCTGATCTTACAAATGGCCTCCACTGTAGGTGCATATTTTCTGTAGGGACAGACATTTATGCTAGTTTTTCACTGCTGCTGCGAACACGCTTGCACATGAAGAGGTGTATTTTTTACTGTCGTTTCTTTTGAACTTTCTGAAGTTTTTACCATGTGTATTTTGAACAGGTGTTTGAAATAAGAAAAATTCGTTTTCCTTAAAAACCTGCAGATTAGTGTTTCTCAGAGTATGATCCAAGGGATGCCAAAATTAGAATGACATGGGACGTTTGTTATAAATGCAGATCCCTGGGCCCGGCCTCAGATCTACTGGTTCTACACTATAATAATTCTCCCCAGGAGATTCTCAGGCATTCTCCAGTTTGGGAAGTTTCAGAGAGACAGACCGTTCCTCTGAGAGGGGATGGGGGTGAAGAGAGGTATGCAAGGAAAAGAATGGAGAATAACACTGATTGACAGCTCCTTTGTGCCAGGCACTGTGCTAGGAAATGATATTTGGAGTGGCAGGGAAGGGGAAATCCATGGGGATTTATCAAGATAATACATGTAGGAAGTTCAGAAGTTCGGCAAAGGTGACCATGGCAGTTAAAAATAGGCTCTGGAGGGGTGTCTGGGTGGCTCAGTCGGTTAAGCATCTGACTTCAGCTCAGGTCATGATCTCACAGTTCTTGGGTTCGAGCCTCACGTTGAGCTCTGTGCTGACAGCTCAGAGCCTGGAGCCTATTTCAGATTCTGTGTCTCCCTCTCTCTCTGCCCCTCCCCTGCTCATACTCTGTTTCTCTCTCTCTCAAAAATAAATAAACATTGGGGCGCCTGGGTGGCTCAGTTCGTTAAGCATCTGACTTCGGCTCAGGTCGTGATCTCATGGTTCGTGGGTTCAAGCCCGGCATTGGGCTCTGTGCTGACAGCTCGCAGCCTGGAGCCTGCTTCGGATTCTGTGTCTCCCTCTCTCTCTGCCCCTTCCCTGCTCACCCTCTGTCTCTCTCTGTCTCTCAAAAATAAATAAACATTTAAAAAAATTGTTTTTAAGTAAATAAACATTAAAAATTTTTTTTAAAAAGGCCGTGGAGTCCACCACTTAGTGTCTGTGTGCCCTTGGGAAGTAACACAACCTCTCTGAGCTTTAGTTTCCTCATCTGCAGTATATAATAGTACCTGACTGAAGAATTTTATGAAGATCAAATGATTTAAGGCACATAACCTGCTTAACCTAGAATTTGAAACTTTTTAGGTGGCCACCGAATGAGGACAGTAGTGGTGAGTGCAGAAGTTTAATCCCCCTTCGTAATCCGTACGTACACATCTCATAGTTTGGGTCATAGCCCATTTTTGAAACTACAGCTGAGGTTTATAGTATCCAGATGCTGCTTTCCTGTCACATGGATGGAGATCTTCAATATGTAGTCCTCAGCCACTCTCTTCTTCTCATGGGGAAATATGATTAACGCATACAATCAGCTGTAAGATGCCGGTTCTAGAAATGTATCAAAGTGGAAACTGGGGAGTCCCCGTGTTGTTTGAGGTAGGGGGCTGGGTCCGAAGCGTAGAGATTTTAAACTCTGAGTGTAAATATACACCTTAACATGCACATGCCCCCTCATAGCGTGCACATGGCCCAAAATGATCCCCGTGGAGGAGTAGAGTGTATGTCGACACAGGGGCAGTGGTAACACAGCAGTAGCTACCCCTCTTCCCCAGGAGCGCCTTTCCAATAGGGCCAGTGGCTGGAGGGCGAAGGAACCAGAGCAGAGGGAAAGTCTGCAAGGGTTTGGTCGGAGGGGGTGCGGGGGAGGCTCTGGTCTGCAGACAAGGAACAGAGAACGATGACCCAGGGTGGCCACTACCTTTCCTTCCTGTGTCCTCTGTCTCCATTCACCTTTCTCCTGTGACGTGCCTCAGCCCCCGCAAGCCCAAATCTACCATCACAGCCAGGGGGCAGTGCTCAGGATCCCTGGCTTAGAGTTCACATACAGAGGTCTGAGTCCCAGCTCTGCCTCTTAGGATCTGTGTCACTTAACTTTTTTTTTTTTTTTTTAATAGGCTTTATGTTTTTAAAGCAGTTGTTAGGTTCACAGCAAAATTAAGAGGAAAGTGCAGAGGGTTTCTATTTGCCCCTCCCCCCACATGGCACAGTCTCCCTTGTTAGCAACATTCCCACCTGAGCGGTACATTTGTTACAGTGATAAATCTACCCTGATGCATCATACTCTGCCGAAGTCCATAGTTTGTAGCAGGCTCACTCTCGGTGCCGGGCATTCTGTGGGTTTGGGCAAATATATGATGACAGGTGGGTATCTGCTGCCACTGAAGTATCAGACGGAATCGTTTCACTCCCCTAAAAATCTTCTGTGCTCTGTCTATTCATTCCCTTCCCCCCCAGCCTCCTGGAAACCACCGATCATTGTGCTGTGTCTTTACTTTTGCCTTTTCCAGAATGTTGTAGAGTTGGAATCATATAATGTGTAGCCTTTATAGATTGGCTTCTTTCATTCCATAACATGCATGGAAGGTTTCTCCACATCTTTCCCTGGCTTGATAGCTCATTTTTTTTTTTAATTTTAATGTATATTTTTGAGAGGGGGGGAGGGGCAGGGAGAGAGGGGGACAGAGGATCCAAGCAGGCTCTGTGCTGACAGCAGCAAGCCCAATGTGAGGCTCAAACTCATGAGCCAAGACATCATGACTTGAGCCAAAGTCGGATGCTCAACTGACTGAGCCATCCAGGTGCTCTGATAGCTCATTTCTCTTGAGTGCTGAATCATATTCTAACATGTGGACATACTACCTTCTCTTAGCCTCAGTCTACAGGGCTCTGGGTAGCGGAGGCTGAGAGAATTTGTAATAATGATAAGCATGAATGTTCTAAGTGCTCAATACCACCCACTCTGCTGAATGCCTCTTTCTGCCCTACGTTACCTCATCCTTCCTAAAACTTGTCACATAGGTCTTAGGAACAACCGCCCGCCCCTTCCCGTACAGATGAAGACACTAAAGCTTAGGGGGAGATAAATCATTGGTCAAGGCCACAGATCCAGGAAGGGAACGGTCTGGAATTCGAACCCAAATGTTCTGACTCCAGGTTTTAGTATTGAAGCTATAACCTTCCAGGAAGATTCTTGCCAGTGTTTGGCACATAGAGAAAAACGTGTCACCAAACTTATTATTGTTACAATTTTTGCAGCAGAGCCATTTAAATTGGAAGGTCACGATTCTTTTCTAAAGGGAAATATGAGGCACTGTTGGGGGTGGGGGGGTCAGAAACTTCCTCATGCCTCACAAGCCTGGAACCAGAATTAAAAGCCAGGGTTAATGGAGGCTCTGAGTTGCTCCGAAGAGAGTACTGGTGGGTTTTTTTAAGGTATCATCTCCTGAGCACTTACAGATAGGTTATCCCATCCAATGCTACAACAACCCATTTTAGGAAACAGAAGAGCCCAGGAGACTCAGCTCTGCTCATCATCCACCCCTGAAGCTTCTCCTGTGTTTTCTGCCCCACCCCGCCCCCACCTCCCCGCTCCCCACCACAGCCTGGCCAACATTTGCAGCTCCGGGCGTGCGTCACGGCACAGAGGCAGCCCGGGAACGTCTGGGTCTGACCGGTGTCTGGCCTGAGGTGTGGGTGCCTTGGCAGCCGGCTCCAGCTCTTCCTCATCTTCCTGGTCACAGTACCCACTGGCCCCCGGCACCCTCTGCCGGGGCACACCTGCTCACTCCCTGTCCCCTCCACTTCCTTCTGCCCTGGATTTCCAGACAGAGTCAAAAATGGGTCCACATCAAATAAGATTTGTTTGCTCTCAGTGTAATTTTCCATTTATAGACAGCTTTCTCTCAGGAGGCACTGTCCTCCTTCCTCTGTCTCGGTTTTTTCTGGGTATTTGAGGATAAACTGCTGATGGTTGTTTTTAAGCCCTGCGGTCAGCAGCCCAGCCGGTCGTTCATTCAGAATGTCTCCAGAGAGCCTGCAGTTGTTACCCTTATAGGATTTATGCTAATTTCTGTGGCCTCTGAGATCTCTGTGGAGGTGTGTAGCGTTAAAAAGAAATGCCCGGTTGGGGCCAGCAGGGTCCTCATCCACAGGCTCATCCTGGTGCGATGATGAGGATGAGAAGACAACAGAAGGAACAGCTGCTGCTTAGAGCATACTCCTCCAGGTGCTAAATGGGATTCGCTTCTTCCTCTGACGTATAAGTGCTGCTCTGACCCCATGATACAGATGAGGACGTGGGCAGACAGAAGCCAGGGCCGTGGCTGACCTCTCTGGCCCAGCCACCCCACACGCCCCTTCTAGCCCTGGGCTCTACCCATACCAGCTTCGGTCTGGTCCCTTGGATCACCGTGTTCTCCCACCACAGTTCCTTTGCACACGCTCTTCCCCTTGCCTGGGCCACTTTCTCCTCCACTGTGCGCCGAATCCTCCCTGACCGATCTTTCAGATCTCAACTGCAAATTCTTCAAGGATGCCCTACTGCCTCCCCCCGCCCCCCCACCAGCAAGATGCTCCATTAAAGTTCAGATAGCCCTGCCTGCCTCTGCTCAAGGGTACTGGTCTGGACTGAAATCCTACTTTTACTCGTGCAGTTTTCTGGCTAACATCTGGCTCCCTCTCCGGACCCTTAGTCCACCAGAGCAAGGGCTTGAAAGTGCTACCTTGTACATAATTCCACCGCTACGCTTCCCACGCCAGACCAAAACGATTTATTGATTCATTTTTCTCATCCCTTGGTCTGTGAATTTCCTGAGGGCAGCGTCCAGGTCTTTTTCTAACACGGTGCTCAGCTCAGTAAATATTTGGTGAGTTGAATTGAATGGACGGGATTTAATGGAACAGTGTAAGTGGAGAAAGGGCGCCTGAAAACTCAGAACTCAGAGCCCACAAAATACCGTCATTCTGAATCCACCCCCCACTCTTGGAAATCTGGAGCTGTGTTAGAGAGAAGGTTAGCTTTTTAAAAAAACCAAGTTCCCTTATAATTTGGATTGTGGCATAGAGGGAGCCATGACTCTCCCAAAGAAGCATCGTATTACAGTCCTAAAGCCAAGAGAGGTGAGGAAGAAAGCACATCTGCCTCTCAGAAGTTTAGAAAAAGTCGGAGCGGAAATAACTAGTGGACTCTCACTGGAAGCTGTGCTGGGATTTGGCTCCTTACGGCCCTCGGCCTCGCGTCATTTCCTTATCTCTCTTGGGGGACCTCGCCTGGCTTCTTCCCCACTGCTGTCATTGCTGACTTTGACTCTGTAAATGTTGTGGTCTGGTTGCATTGGAAGCACCCCCGTCTTTGGGGCTGACCCCTTCCAGGCCCTGATGTCCTTTGGTCTGGCAAATGGGTCCTAGGGTTTCCATACCTGAGAGACGGGGTTGGGGAGCGGGGGAAAGAGAACAAACAGGGCTTCTCTTCTGTCTGGGGGATGAGGAGGGCGAGGGGCAGTCTGTGGGTTACAGGCCTGGTGCTCACCCAGCAGAGTTTTATGAAGATAAGTGCCAGGTAACCGCAGGCTCCCACATCCAAGCGGGGCCCAGCCTCAGCCCTACCCACCCCAGCTCCAAGGAAAACACGCAGCTATTTGGAAAAGCTGCTTTCATCCTGCCTCCTCCTTCCTATCGTAACAGATCATGAGCCTGTTCTTCCGAGGGCTGAATAGCCCCTTTTAAGATGTTAGAAACCTTTTCTGAGTAAGAGGATTAACCTAGTTGAATTTAATAGTAGTAGCACATGATAGATTAACAGTAACGTGAAAGAACAGTGAGGCTCCAGTGACCCATTATGACGTTGGCTCGTGGACTGCCAAGCATTTTGCAATAAAAAACGCTGACTAGTTATCACACAGGATGAATTAAAGGGACACTACCCTCCGTTGTCCCCCACTGTGAACCTGCTCCTAGCAGGCTCCCTGGCAGATACGTAAACTTTGCTTTGCTAATATCTGTTAAACTAATTCCGGGATTTACTGAGTGAGGCTAACTTAAGGTTCTGACACTTTTCCAGAGTGGGACAGAAAGCCTTCATTTTAAACATAGTTTGCTCCAACATTTTGGGTAATGGCACATAGAACTATTTGCCATTCTCCTTTAGCTTCTAGACTTAGTTCCCACTCATCCAAAATTTTGAATGTATTCCTGAGAGTTAACAAGTTAAGTGGAATCCCACTGGCGCAAATCAGATCAAAGGAGGGTGTTTTTGTTTTTGTTTTTTTAAATAGCAATCAAAGAGTCATTTTTAGTATATGTGCTGCCGAAGCGAGCACTCAAAGAGTCATTTTTAAAGAGGAGACAGAATCCTTTGTAACCTGAAAATATAGCACAAATATTGAAAGCGAACATCTTGGGGTTCCAGTGGCTGAGGTACGAGAAATATACGGTGAAGTTGGAAATGGAGATTAGAGCAGGTTTCCAAACTGAAAATCAGATCGAAAATCTGACTGCCCTTGGTGGGCTGGGCCCCAGATGGTGCCATGGAACCCTAGGTCCAGAAGAGGGCGCTCTGAACTAAGTGTGCCAACGGCTGTGGTAAAATCTGGAATCTCTAGAAGAGACTGGTTATACTTGTCTTTCCTTTTTTCTACGTTTTTGTGTTGTCTTGTAGGCATAAGAGAGAGAGTTTTCATCCCCTGTGCCAACGAATCTTCTTCTGAAAGTATTAATAAACTGAGGATTTCACAGATTGAATACCAAACCCCAGGAGGATCATCATGTTTAAAAAAATCTTTTTAATGGCCTTCAACCTTTGGTCTCCCGAAAATCTGTGAACAAATTTCCCACACCATGGACTCTCTCACTATGTTTAAATGGTCCCTCAGGAATTGGTGTATTCTTCGAATATCGACCCTACACGTAGAAAATGGATGGTCAAATCAAGCAGGGTGGACTTCCTTGATGTTTCTGAGGGTTACGTGTCAGTGTTACATATTTATCAAGTGAATGAATGAAAGGTACCGATCTCTGTGAGTGTGGTACTTACCCACAGCATCCTGATTAACAAGGAAGCTGTATCTTTGTCAGCTTTAAAGCCTAAAAGATACTTTAAAGCCTTGTTTCCATTTACCAACTTCTTTGGAAATACAGTTTCTTCCCTACAGTTTTTATTCCCAGGCCCTGAGGAAAGAGCAGACAGTTTCAACAAGTACTTGGAGGAGACGGCATACCATGTGCAGGCTCTGTGACTGGCAAATTCGATATTAAGAATTTGTCCTATGTCAGGATTCACACCAGTACCCAGAGGCCAATGCGTGAGGTTCACAGCAGCATTGTTAATAGCAGGAATTTGGAAAGCATGTGCCCCAGTAATGGAATGATAAATTATACAGCCAAGCAAATACCAGGCGGCCATAAAAAAGAGAGCTAGACATAAATGTCCATAGATGAGTGGGGGGGAAAGGAAGCCCTAGAACAATATATGTGGAATTATTCTATAACTGATTTTTAAATGTTTTTTTTTATTCTGAGAGAGAGAAAGAGGGACAGAGCGTGAGCAGAGAAGGGACAGAGAGAGGGGGAGAGAGAATCCCAAGCAGGCTTTGCACCGTCAGCACAGAGCTCGACTCAGGGCTCAGTCTCACGAACCGTGAGATCATGACCTGAGCCAAAACCAAGAGTGGGACGCTTAACTGACCAAACCCCAAGGGCCACCCAGGTGCCCCTGAATTTTAAAATTATGTGTGTATCTGTAGATACAGAGCTAGAAACCTGAAAGCCTGATGAGCTCTAGAAAATGGGATGGGGTGGGTAAGGAGGAACTCATGTTTTATTTTGCTTTTGCAGGTATTTTTCTAACTTAAAGGAAAAATCAATAACATCTTTAAAGCCCTCTGAAAAGAGGGCAAAAATGCTATCCACTCAGTCCTTTCCTACAGCTCCCAAACTCGCTAAATCCATCCTCCTGGAGAATGCTTCCCATGCCCCGCCCCCTCCCGCTCACTTCTGCCCTGAGTCCTGTTGCTTCCTGCAGGCCCAGGCATCCCAAAGGATGCCAGAGCCCCAACACCTCACAGTCCTCCCTGGGCCTCTGGAGTCCTCCTTCCACCTCACTCTTCTATCCAAAGTGCCTATGATCTCCTCCAACACCAGGGTAGCACACTTGTGACCCATGAGCCAGATGTGGCCTAAGGCTATATAGTTTGCTAGAGCCACATATTTGGTTGTGTTTATTCTTAATCGATTTGATGCTTACTACTTGGGAAGTTTCACTTAGAATTCCTGCTCTCTGTCTTCTCTTCAACCACCAGGAAGATCTGGCCCACTACACCCACCTTCCCACGTGGCTAGAATTAAGTGTCAGCCTGCCCCAGGGTCTCCACTGCTCTGTCTTGTGGAATCTCCTGGCCCTGCGGGCAGGAGAGCTTTTCATTCCATTTTAGACCCTTCTCCTCTATCTAGTTTCAACAACAGCACCAGCTTCTAGATCTTCTTCTTTCTCTTTAGCTGCCCTTGTTCAGCATCCTGTCCTGGCCATCTTTTGAAGTCCAGCATTCCTCAGGGGTCCGTCATTGGTATATATGCTCTCCTTGTCTCCCTGAGTATCCGGTCTTCCTCAGGTTCCACTCATGTCTCCAAAATCCCAAATTGCCTCTGCCTTAATTAATGACAGTACAGTGGTTATAAAGTAACCCAAACCACAGACCTTAGTCATACTCCCTTTCCCTCACTACCCACAGGCCTCTCCTA